CCGACATGGCTGAAGTCGTTAAAAAGTTGGCCATAGCGGAGGAAGATTTGGAAACCACTCGAAAATCACTGGTAGATCTAAAATTCCATCTCATGGATTTAGGAATGTTCCAATTTTTGGAACTACCAGGCTCACCGGAACGTGCATATAACCTTTAAATATCCAGTAACGATAATTTCGGAGATATGAACGGTTAAGGTCAACCATCATCGTTTGGCGGATTCGTGGCATCGGCTCCGCTCGGTGGCCCAGTGGGATTGTCTAACATACCGAATGAAACTGGTGGTCCACAGTCAATTTTGGATAAGATTCAATTGTTCGCTCAAAACGCCAGAAAATCCGCTGCACCCTCCGGTTTTGGTGGTGGTGGTGGTGGTGGCAGTTTCTTTGGTGCGAGCGCAAACGATGGAAGTGGTTTCGGAAATCCCTTTGGTAGTACTACTACTACTATGACGAATGCCGGTGCAGCATCTGAATCCACTGCCTGTTGGTAGCTTGAATGGAACACGACTCACACTCAAACAGAATGGCAAGTTGCCAAGGTCGTTACATCCGCACGACTTCATGTTAACAGTGACATAATCAGATGAGTCAGTTATCAGTTTCAGTTCAACAACCGACCAATGTTCAATACACCAAAAGGGTTGTGAAAATAATTTGATCGTCCTACTTCTATTTGTATTGTCAATGAACATAAAGTTACTGGAAGCTGTATTGGAAAAGTTTTATTACTGGTTGAGCTGACAAATTCGTAGCAGTAGTTTATTGACAGCTTGCAGGTTTTGATGTGGTTTTATTGGTTGCTGAGTAGCTGGACATTATGCGGGGTTTTGATTGGTTGTCGGGTATTCACATTCGTATAGGGTTAGTTGGGAACATGACGCCCAAACCCTTAGCATTGTTTTGTGTGCTTGGCATTGGTTTCTGTCCCAGTACAATAAGTTCTGGTTTGTTCCTGTTTGGTTACTTTGATTTACTGCATACAATCAATGAATATGTAGGTTGATCGAGTGTTCGGGTAGTTAAATTTCAAAATCGATGTTTGTGCAATTATGATAAACAGTTGAATGCTCACAGACGTCTTATCAAGTACAAGGAGGTTATACAAGAAGAACAGGAGAACCGTAGAATTCTTCTGTACAAAAGACAGACGTAACACTTGAAGATTCAATAAATAGATGTCAAAAGAAGACAAACTGGCACTCTCAAGAAAGCTCCGCAAGTTGTATGATCATTTGTGAATCAACCCCACTGCAAAAATAGAAAGCTAAATTAACACCAAATTGAAACAACTTAACAAATTGCATCAAATAACCAAAGAGAAGCGCTAGGGACTGAGAGTCACAGACTCCGTTATTACAAAACTCTACGGACTACCGAAGGCAACAAAGAAGGAATTCCTCTGAGGCCCATCGCCTCCTTTCCAGGATCAACCACATATAGATTAGCAAAGGAATTATGGAAACGGCTAAAGCCACTAATCACAGGACACATGTGTAGCACGATAAACTCAAGGCAGTTCATGAACAAGCTGAAAAGGTCACTATCCGAGAAGATGAAATAATGGTTGATTACGACGTCAATTCGATCGGCTGGGACCTGTGAGATACACATTGCGGGAGATGATCACTGCGCATCCAACAAGCCAACCAGTAGAACCAACTGCCCTCTGCAAACCCATGGAAGAACGCACTTAGAATTCGAGAGTAAAATCTGCGAACAGCTGAGACAGAGGCCAATGGGATCACCAATTTCTGGATTCACAGTTGGAGACCTAATGCAGAATCTGGAGAAGGAAGTAACACCACGAATCATACCAAAGCCTTGACTCCGATACGTCAATGACACATTCTTCATCCTGAAGTTGTTGGGACTAGAAAGAGCACGACATCATCACAAACACATTCGATGGCGTCAAACTCACAGTGGAGATGGAGCGATATAAACAATCGGCATTTTAGGACATCTTGATCATAAGAATACTGTCAGGAAATCCGGAGACAACAGTACGCGGCAAAGCAACGCATACAAATCAAATCCTCAGATTCAAAAGTAATCATTCACACAACAAAAGATGATGCGTTGGGACTCGGTTCCAAAGAATCCAAACGCATTAGAGTACTAACATATTCAAAAAAGAGAGAAAAAAGATACCTCTTCGAAGTATTTGCTTCCAATGGCTACACCTCTAACTTCATCAAAAGAACTTTGACTCAAAGAAGGAAACAATCAAGAGACGGAACACTGGGCGAAGAACAACCTTACCGTGCATCAAGGAGGTTCCGAAAATGACAGCAAAACTGCTCACATCATACGAAATCCAAGCCACCCCAAAACCGCATGTTCACCTCCGGAGTATTATTACGAACCAAAGAAGAGAACAATGAAGAAAGATAAGAGAAATGCTATCTACACAATGGAATACAAGAACTGCCCAAAACACAATATGAAACAAAGTGGGAGAAAAATATCAACAAGGATCTTTGAAATTACTTGACTATCAGCAGGTAGGACCAGCTATCGATGAGTTTCCTTCACAAACTGCATGAAGGATATTGAGTAGATTTCGAATCAGTGAAAATCATCGACCAAACGCGGTCAAAATAAGCCAGAGAATTTTTCAAGGGTTAACACTCTTCAATCAACCCAATAAGCAGACACATTGAACTGGATAATGTCTACATGTCAATGCATTTCAAGGACCAAATGATACAAAAAGGTCGCGTCGTGTCCTGAGAACCTTACACTAGTTCAACGACGAACCGGGTCGAATATGGTGAGAACAAGGGACGAAAAGTTGTCAGTGGGGAAGAACGGATGTATAATCCAACGGTCGCAAACAAGACACTGCCACTTTATAAGATGTAACCTCGGCTGGTAATGAAGCGTTTGCAAACAAACTGCTAAACGTGGCGAACAGGCGAAATGAAAGATAGTTTGAACGTCTTGAAAGTTGAATACGTCTCTTTTATCTTCTGTGTACTGTGGCAAGAGGAGTCATATGTCAAAATTACCGGTTGCTGTTCCCGTACTCGAATATTTGGTTGTCTTCTTGCATAATGGGTTAGAGGTTTTCAAAATGATTTTTCAAATGGAATTTGTCTGCGGTTCATCATTAATCCGATCTTTGATTTCTGCTGGAATATTCCAGAGGAATACAACTTATTCGCTACCTAATGCCCAACCTCAGATTGGCGAAGAGCGTAATACAGAATAGTACTTGTCCGGTTAGAATTATTTGTTCTTCAGGTAAATCGAAAAAGATGGCACCCGAAGTACTTGTTCATCTCCCACACCCGCAGAGACGTTTTCCAATGCGGTCGTGGTATTTCTCAATGTACATTTCATGTAGTACCCGTTGCTAAAAGTCTCCGGTAAAAAACCGGTATATGACAAACCGTCCATGGATAAACAGCTTCCGGTGAGTAACGTGACTTATAGGAACTGTTATCATCGAGTTACATTGATCTGTTTATTCCGTTTCACACCAGTTATCCTTAAGTCACTGTTGAGCAGGTGTTTTTTCCTCTGACCTACGATATCTTCCCATCTGATTCGGTACCCAGGTTTTCAGACATAGGAATGACATTAGTCTAGTTGCGTCAAGGACCTCCGCGGTGAAACAAGAGTTTCACTAATCCTGATTCACCTCTAGCTGTTCAGATCCATATCATGAACAACATTAAAAAGAAACACTGTAAGGAACATGAAATACCACTCGTTAGGATTAATGGTTAGACGGTTGAACAGAAGCAGAGGAATTTGCTTCTTGTTCTACACGGGTTAACTTTTACGGTCAGTTATCAATCTGAAATCCTAAATTATTCCCTATATCTATTCAATTTCAATGTTTGGTAGTAAGTTTTCCGTTGTTTGACTGTGAAACACTGCGGTGTTTTGGTTCCCACCTTATACTCTATTCGAAAATGCATATTGTACAACCAAAATTGATATTTAGATTGCGTTAGAAGCTCAAACCTAGATAAGGAAAGGTTGTGCAGGAAATGCTAATACGGCCAGTCAGGAAAAAGAGAGAGCATGGTT